TTTTGGGCCCCTGAGGCTTGAATATGCAGGAAGTATCAGGCGGGAGCCTCGCCTGTGAGTGAATTGCAAGGAAGTCTCAAGCGGAAGCCCCCTCCTTATGGGGCCCGCAGATCATGTTATTAATCCGAGCGGGTCATCGGAACCTTGTAACTGTCGTCACTTTTGCGCTCTTGAGGCCTGAATATGGAGGAAGTATCAGGCGGAAGCCTCGTCTCTGAGTGAATTGCGAGGACGTGTCATGCTGGAGCGCCCTCCTTATGAGGCCCGCCGATCATGTGACTAATCCGAGCGGGTCATCGGAACCCTGTAACCGTCGTCACTTTTGGGCTCTTGAGGCTTGAATATGAAGGAAGTCTCGAGCGGGAACCTCGTCTGTGAGTGAATTGCGAGGAAGTCTCAGGCGGGAACCCCCTCCCTGTGGGGCACGCACTTCACGTTCGAACCCGAGCGGGTCATCCGAGCGAGCTTTTTGGGCTCCTCAGCTCCTGCGGCCTGAACACGGGGAAATATCAAGGGGGAACTTTGTCTGTGGGCGGTGCGGGTAGCCCCGTCAAAGGACCGTCTCCTGTCGTCACTTGGAGGTCTGAGGACGGATTTTAGAACTCGCTCCTGCGGCCTGAATACCGGGGAGTTACCAAGCGGGAGTCTCGTCTGTCTGAACTGGTCGCGGGCAAACTTGTTGTTGTCATGGGCCTGCGTGCCCGAAAGGGCGATTGAGAAGTCCGGGTAGCGTCGTCCGAGCTGGTCGTCGGCAATTTGTTGTAGTCGGCAACTTGAAGGCGCTCCAGGAGTTCGACAAGAGAGCGGTGGATTCCAGGGCTGAGGCGGAGCAGCTCGCGGCAGAGCTGGTCTTCGTGCTGCCGCCTGCCTGAGCGCCGCGGCGCGCACCTAGAGGCCCGCGGAGTTGTCCCAGCGGCTGGCTCCCGCGCCCCTGCGGCCTGCGAGGTTGCCCCAACGGCCTGGCCCGAAGGGTTGTCCCGACGGCTTCGCGATCTAGCCGTCGGCAAACGCGCGCGTGCTGGCCGACGCGGCGACGGCGCCGAGGAAAATCGAGTTGCTTGCCACGACCAGGGGGGACGGGAGGTGCACATGGAAAGAAGCAGGAGGATGAGGAGGGAAGGGGCATGGGGGAGGGCGACGACGAGGAGGAGGTGGCGCGAGAGGAGGAGGAGGAGGAGGAGGAGGAGGAGGAGAAGGAGGAGGAGGAGGAGGAGGAGGAGGAGGAGGAGGAGGAGGATAAGTAGGAAAAGGAATAGAATGAGGAAGAGAGGGCAGTGCAGAGGGCGAGAGGAGAGGGTGTCCACCAGGGGGAGGAGGAAAGGGCAAAGGGTAAGCTAAACAGATTCTCGTGCGGGGTCCTACCGTCGGAGTAATTTTTGTGTGTATATTTCCCGAGGTACTGGTTTGGGTGCAAGAGGGAAGAAGCAACACTTCGGAAGTTGTCTTACGAGGCTGTGTGTGGAGGAGGCGATCTGGATGACATACGTGAAAGGTTGCTCGATTATCTGTGACACAGTAGAGCCGTATCGAGCCGATTTCATTTCAGCCAAATTTGCTTCAGTATCCTGGTGGGGTGAGGAATCCATATGGGGCTTGGTCGTCTTTGTTCGTCAACCTCAGGCTCTTTCAGCTCCCGGTCCTACTACTTCGGGCCTCCCTGGTTAAGTTGGCCTGATGCACTTCCTTGTTGTCGTGCCGCTCGGGGTGCTCAGGGGAGGGCCGTTCTTCGTCGCCTTCCAGTTCGTCGGGTATTTCGACAAGTTCAGGGGGTGGCATCTAGTGAATATCGCACCGCGATAGAGCCAATTCCATTCCATTCCTCGGACGCGGTGGGGCGTGCGCACCAGTTGCCAGTTCTCCGAGCCACGCCGTCTCAGAAGGCTCTGCGGGCGCCCGCCGCATTTTCCGGGCTCCCGCGGGAGAAAGGGAGGTCGTTGGAGAGAGGTCGGTGGAGAGGGGGGAGCAGGGCAGAGGTGATGGGCAGGACCACGCAGGTTGGGGGAGGGAGGTTGGAGCAGAAGGAGCGAGGAGTGTGGGGTGAGGAGGATGAGGAGGATGCGGAGCAGGGTGAGGATGAGGAGGAGGAGGAGGAGGAAGAGGAGGAGGAGGAGGAGGAGGAGGAGGAGGAGGAGGAGGAGGAGGAGGAGAGAGGAGGAGGAGGGGAGAGAGGAGAGAGGAGGAGGAGGAGGGGAGGAGGAGGAGGAGGAGGAGGAGGAGGAGGAGGAGGAGGAGGAGGAGGAGGAGGCCTCCGATGCGGCCCCGAGCGAGGACGCCTGTCTCCCGTCGACGTGCTGGCCCCATTTTCCGCGTTGCCAACTTCTCTCTCTCTCTCTCTTTTTCTCATGTTTGTTTGCTCTGTCTCTCTCTCTCTCTCTCTCTCTCTCTCTCTCTTTACGAGGACGACGGGGGAAGGCGCAGAAGGGAACCCCAAACAGTGCGTTTCCACAAGCAGTGCTTTCACTTAGGGGCTCTCACATCTCTTCTAAGAGATGGCGCGGCGGTCTGGCGGCTATGTGGTAGCCGTCGCCGCCCAGTCGCCGCCTCGTCGCGGCCTTGTAAAGTTGCACCGCGTGGAATCTCTTTTCTAGAAAGGAGATAGGTTCTACCACCCTCCCCCCCCCGGACCCCGGACTTATAGATTCCCGGGGAACCTATGCAAAACACAGATGATTCTGACCCAATGTCCATCTTACCTGTGAGTTCATACTATCCCAGCCAGACCGGTATCGATCCCCCGTCGGTTTCCTTGCGAAACATACTAAACGTTGTTTTTGGTTCTAACATAACACTTGTGTTCACGAATCCCTTGTAACATAAAACCATGCGGGACACGCGCGCGGCCGCTGCACGCGCATGTTGGAATCCTTCCACATACTGTTTCGACAATTTCAACATCCGGCGTCAAGAAAACCCATGCACGCATGCGGTTTTCTCACTCAAAGACTATGAAACATTTGCCCACGCGCTCTTGCCGAATCCTTCAAGAAGGAATTGTTTTTCAACAATCCTGTCAAATCGAGCTTCTTGGGCAACTTTTGCGCGCACGTCGATTTCATTCAACAACAGTCGCGCGCCTGCCAGGGCCATAATCCCTTGTAAAACATACCATGCGGGGCACATGCGCGCGGCCGCCGCGCCCGCATGTCGAAGTCCTTCCAAACACATTGTGGTCTCAACAATTTCAAGACCGAGCTTCATGACATCACACGAATCGTACCATACATCCTCGAAACACATCTGCAAAACAAATCAGAATTCTACCCGCGCGCGCTTTCCGAATCCTAAATGTTTTTTTCAACATTTCTGTCATGCGAGCAACTTATGCGCGCGCGTCGAACGCTTTCAACATCGGTCGTGCGCCTGCCAGGTGTAAAAATTACCATGCGGGGCACATGCGCGCGGCCGCCGCGCGCGCATGTCGAAGTCCTTCCAAACACATTGTGGTCTCAACTATTTCAAGACCGAGCCTCATGAAATCACACGAATCGTACCATACATCCTCGAAAACAAATCTGCAAAACATTATACACTCTACCCGCGCGCGCTTTCCGAATCCTAAAAACCAATGGTTTTTCAATATTTCGCTCATGCGAACAACTTTTGCGCGCGCGTCGAACTCCTTTCTCATCGGTCGCGCGCTTGCCAGGGCCACAATCCCTTGTAAAAATCACCATTCGGCGCACATGCGCGCGGCCGCCGCGCGCGGATGCCGAATTCCTTCTCGTCGTCGTCGTCGGCGCCGTCGTCGTCGTCGTCGTCGGCGTCGTCGTCGTCGTTGGCGTCGTCGTGCCGTAGTTGTCGTCGTCGTCGTCGTCGGTGTCGTCGTCGTCGTGGTTGTCACGTCGTCGAAGTCGTCGGAGTCGTCGTCGGTGTCGTCGTAGTCGTCGTCGGCGTCGTCGTCGTTGTCGCTGTCGTCGTCGGCGTCGGTGTCGTGGCCAAGTGCAGTTTGATACCTACCGTCATGGTTTTAAGAGGTCTTGCGGCCAAGGTGCGGGTGGGAGGGTGGGATGTTGGCACGAGCAGTGGGGAGGACAGCTTCAAGACAGTCAAATATTAGATGGCACCAGACAGATGGCGCCATATAGATTACACAAGTATATTGCACCACATAGATCGCACAACACAGATGGCACCACATAGATCGCACAGCACAGATCGCACCACATAGGTCCGCGCCACATAAGATGCACCACGTAGATGGCACAACATAGACTGCACCACGTAGATTCCACAACATAGATCGCATATGACATTTTGCGCAGCATTGGTTGTACCACACACATATAGTACCACATCTAGTGCACCTCATAGATTGTTCCGCATAGGTTGCACAGCATATATTGCTAGACGCAATGTTTGGGTTCCACATTGGCTAATATATGTTGTGCAATCTTTGTGAAGCCACACATATATATATATATATATATATATGCGTAAGGCAATCCATATGTGTGAAGCAATCCTTTTTATGGAATGTATGTCTGACAGTGTATGTTGTGCCATTTATGGTGTGTCATCGCTGCGGAGCAATATGCGTAGTACTATATATATATATGCTTGAAGGGAGTGCCGTATCATAATGTTACGGCTCAAGTTTGTTCTCATGGTCGGTTGGCCCGCCCAGCTAGTCGCTACCAAGGCCGCCGATCTTGCGATCATTTGGGGCCTGGGCTCGCGTCAGTGCCCGCCTTGCCCTGACTGCGTGGTCACCTGTCCGACAGTCACTTGTTCGACGCCGTCGATCAATATCACTTGTCCGACTTTCTCTTGTCCGTCAGTGACCCCGCAGGTCGCCGAGGGAGCGGGCTGGTCTGGCATCTTCGGTTTCGTCGCGGGCCTCCTCGTGGGATTTGGACTCCTGACTTGCACAGGTCTTATAGGTCGCTGCGGCGGCTGGCTGACCTCGTTCGTGTTCAGGCGCCCCGAGCCCGAGGCCGTCGTGGACGACACTGCTACGCGGGATCTGGCGTTGAAACAGCTCGCCATCATACGTCAGCGCAATGGTGGCGCCCGGTGATGTGGTGCTGGTCAGGTACGACCTGCCTGGCCCGCCGCTCTGGCATGAACGGCTCATTCTCGCTGTTGGCAATCAGCCAGGCCACTTCGCAGTGCTAACGCCCGACGGCGACATTTTTGTGGAAGAGCTTCGTCCAGATAATCTCGATATTGCTGAGTTTCGGAGCGCCCCAGGCTTGGGGGTGCAGCCCCCAGACATTCCCATAGCAAGTGTGTATCGGTTTCGTGTCGTGCCGACGGCTGCCGAGATGCTCCAGCACGTGGCGGATGGTGCTCTTCAGGCAGGGGTTCCAGTTCCGCCAGGGCCTGTGGTGCCTGTTGTGGGCCCACCTGGCGCTGCCCCCGCCGCGTGGCATCCGCCGCTGGGGCCAGCGGCCCCGCCGCCTGGGGCACTGGTGGCTGTGGCCCCCCCGCTGGGAGCTCACCTCGGCCCCGCTGCGCCCACGCCTGCGGTGGCAGGCGGCGCGACTGTCCCAGGTGCGGCTGCTGCGGCGGCCGCGGCGCCCGGGCCCGCAGGCGCTGCGGCGCAGGCTGGCCCCCCGCTCGCGTGGGTCGCGGCCGAGGACACCCAGGACATCACGAAGGGGACCCAGATACCAACGCTGCCCGATAACGCAGTGACCCTCGGTGACAAGGCCATCATCCAGTACGGGAACGGACACCTGTTCGTGCAGCGCATGGCGGAGGCTGATATATACCGATTCGTGCATGACGATCTCAGGGTGCTGCCAGTCGTCACGGACGCGTCGGGTGAGCGCAAGGTCGGCTTCGCGGACGCGGTGGCGGCCATGGACCCTACGCCTCCGCGCGGCGGTCTCGGCCTCGACGGTCCGCCTACCACGTTCTGGCAGCTGAAGCAGATCCGAGATGATGATGCGAGCCCGAACGCTCACCATGAGAGGTGGGTTCGATCTTCCCGCATCCCAGAGGGCGATCGTTCGGTGTATGAACATCAGGTTCTGTGCAGGATATTGGACGCGGCGGCCACCTACGACCAATTCAACTTGCCGGCTCTGAAGTGGGCCGAGTTGGTGTGCCGCCGCATGGCCCTCATCAAGGAGGCCCACAGGGCCGCGCCATCCAATCCTGATTACTCTGCTGGAGATGTGTTCATGGGCTGGGGGCCCCAGACGGCAGGAGGCGGCACCAATCCTGCGCTGGCCCAGTACGCGGCGAACCAGCTGAAGGACCAGGCGGCCATCGCGAAGGAGAGCAGAAAAGCCCGCGAGGAGCAGCAGGCCCGGAGTCGTGGACGCGGCAAAGGCCGTGGTCGCGGCGGGGGCGGGCTGGGTCCCGCGGGCGAGGAGGGATGAGCCCCCTCCCTCCTGGGCAGTGTGGCCGACTCCCAGGAGATCTTCCAGGCCAGCGCGGTGGTGATGTCTTACAGCCTCGACTTCATCAAGCTCGCGCTCCACAGGTGCTTGGGCCTTTTCATGCTCATCGACATGGTCAGGCGGTCGCAGGCGATCGGCCACGCGATCTTTTTCCTTTGCCTCCAGTTGATGCAGGACATGAGGTGCCTGAGCAAGTTTTGGCTTCAGATCGAGCCCTCCGGCGTCGTGAGCGGCGTGCGCAAGAAGCGACGACGGTGTGCAATGCCCTCAATGAGTTGTACGGGGTCGGCTCCACGGACCTCGCCCCCAACCTCGCCCAGGAGGAGGCTCACCATCAGGTACTGAGCAAGCTAGCTTCTGTGCCTGGCAGCGGTAAACCTGTACCTTTTCCGCATGACGCCTTCCGTGAGGTCATGCGCACAGACCTCTCCTACGCTTCGGAGGAGGTTGCGAGCCGCGTCCGACCCTTTCGCACTGCCCCCGCGTCTCTTCCTCAGTCGGGCGCAAGGGCGCCCAGGCTCGAGGATGTTCTCGACCAGGAGGGGCGCCAGGTTTTAATCGAGGGGGCCGACCGCATGCTGAAGACCCCACAGGAGTGGGGGAAAGTGATCGAGACCTCTCCTCATGTCACCCCCTACTTCGATGAGGTCTTACGAGCTGATCAGATTGCATACGAAGGTTTTGTGAAAGACTTGTATCACGCGGGTATCGTTGAGTTTTCGTTTGAGGTCGAGGATCACATCACTCCATTCTTTGTCGACAAGAAAGGCGTTGCTCTGCGCATGGTCTTGGACTGCAGGAGTCCGAACCGTAGATTCAGAGCGCCACCTCGGATGAGGATTGCGACGGGAGCCGTCCTCTCTCGCTTGCAGGTTCCACAAGGCCAAGTTTTGCACGGTGCTCTGTCGGATGTCAGCAACTTTTTCTACTGGCTCGTGCTGCCGCACTGGCTCCGAAAGTATGTTGGCCTGCCAATTGTTAGCACTGCCAACGTCATTTCTTGGGGCGCTCTTCCTGGATATGAGTCTTCTTGGGCTGGCCTTCCTGGGCGTGTGCGTCCTGTCATGCGCGTCTGTCCTCAGGGCTGGTCCTGGGCATTCTGGTTCGCACAGAGGGCTCACTCTCATCAGGTCTTATTGGGCACCCAACTGGGCTCTGACCGACTTCTCGAAGAAGACGCTCCCACTCCGGATTTATATTGTAAGGTTCCCGTGGTCCTCCCCTATTGCGACAACCTGATTGTCATGGGCACAGACAAGGACTCCGTCAATAATGTTAAGATGTTGGCAGTCGATCAGCTCAGACGCGCGGGCTTCCAGGTTCATGAAGAGGTGGAGGTAACAACCTTTTTCGAGTCCCTGGGATACCTGGTTGATGGAAAACGCGGGGGGTCTTTCCGATCCCGCATCGGCTTGAGAAGGCCGTGGCAGCGTTCACTCATCTCAGGAGAAGACCTCACGTCACAGGCTGGCAAATTAGTAAGGCTCTCGGTTGCGTCACGCCGATCCTCCTCCTCACCCGCTCCATGTTATCGCTGCCTAATGCCCTGTATCAGTTCATGCACGAGCACTGGAGCCGCAAGAGGCGTCTCTGGCATTCCGCCGCGCTGGAGTGTAAGTGGATCTCTGCGCTGCTGCCGCTCGCTTGGTCGGACCCCAGGATGCCGTGGATCCCGCAGGTAAGCTACAGATGCTTCGCTGTCCGGGTACGCCGTGGGCAAGTCTCTCTGGAATGTCTCGGATGTGATGGAGGCTGGGGGTGCTCGCGAGAGGTTTCGCTATCGCTGTGCCGTGCCGTCTTCCGCGCCGCGTCGTGCTGCTCTGGGGGCCCTCGACCCGTTCCAGGACCTCGAGGCGGTGAAGCCCATCGTCGACCGCTTCGAACCCTCCCCCTACGAGTTCAACTTCCTATTCAAAGGGATCCCCGAGGGCCTCCTGCAGGACTCCATGTGGAAGACTAGCGATGCGGCGCCCTTTGTGTTCAAGGAGGGTATCGGGGATCTGGAGTCTCGGGCCACGGTCTCTGGCGTAAGGCACACCCTGAGGTCCTCTGGAGGCTTTCGTTCTAATCACCTTCATCTGGGAGACAACCTAGGTAAAGTCTTGGGGCGGGAGAAGGGCCGAATGAAGAACTTCGCGCGATTGGTTTGCTGCGGGAGATTGTGTGCCCTGGAGCTCGCCACATCAGCAGTCGTTCACCATCGCTGGATACCCTCGGAGCGAAACCCAGTGGACAAGGGGCCCCGTCTGTGGGAGCACCTTAGGCTCAAACATGGGGAGGGGCCTCCTTCCTCAAGGCGCACTTTACCGACCAGCGCCGCGGGTGCTGGGGCGCAGCCTACCGTGCCACGACCTCCGCCAGGACTGCCCCCTCCCGTCCACTGGGCGGGCTTCCAGCCACGCGGCCCGCGGCCTCAGGGCGGCGCCGGTGAGGCCGCCTCCGCGGCGTCCGGCAGCCGCTGCAGCGCGCCGAGCCCGCGCGCTGGGGGCACAGGAGAAGCAGCGCCTGGCTCGAGGAGCGCCCAACAAGCAGGCTCGGGCGCAGCTCAGGCGCGAGCTGGTCGGCTCCATCGGGATCAAGGCGTCGAACCTGTCGGAGTCGCACGTCGAGACGTTCCTGGAGGCGAACGCCGTCGCCGAGCGGACCCACGCCATGTATGCGAAGAGGGTCGCCGACTTCGAGAGCTGGGCGGATGCCAGGGGGCCCGGGCTCACCTCTGCCAAGCTGGTGGACTGCGCGCTGGTCGACTACCTGAACCAGATGTGGGATGAGGGCGCGGACATCGGCGAGGCAACGGGCACCTGCGCGGCCTGGGTCAAGCTCCGCCCTTCCTTCTCCAAGAGGGGCCCCGACAAGCTGGTGCGGACCGTGAAGGCGCTGCAGGGGTTCAACAGGCTCGACCCAGGCATGACCAGGCCGCCGCTGCCTCTGGCGTTCGCGGCGCTGATCGCGGTGGAGCTCGTCGGCATGAACCTCGTCAGCATGGCACTGGCGGTGATGCTCATGTTCTCGGCCTACCTGAGGCCGATCGAGCTCCTCTCGCTTCAGGTGACGGACGTGCTCGTGCCGACCAAGGGCATCCCGTGCTACGCGATTCACTTACATCGCGCGGAGCGGGGCCAGCCCAGCAAAGTTGGCCTGTACGACGAGACGCTGCTGTTGGACTCGTCGGCTCTCCCGTTCCTCGGATACCTTCTGGACGCGCGCCGGGGCGCGGCTGCAGGGCCGGCGCTGTTCGACTTCGACTACCGGAGCTTCAACGAGAGTTTCAAGACTGCTGCCGGGGCCGCAGGACTGGCCGCCCTCAAGCCCGACCTATACCAGTTGCGCCACGGCGGGCCCTCGCACGACATCCTGAACCGTCTCCGCTCGAAGGCAGAGGTAAAGGACAGAGGTCGCTGGAGGGGCGATCGGTCGGTCCGACGCTACGTAGCGAGGCGCACGGCAGGCTCCAGCTCCAAGAGAAGCTGGTCTCCGAAGCGACACAGAGCCGCGCCGCCACGTGTCTGGTCAACCTCGAGGCCCAGCTCCGGTCAGGCATGCCGCACTTCGCCCGATCCGTGCGCTCTTCGAGGGCCAGAAAATCGTCGAGCTCTTCTCTGGTGAAGCCGGCTTCTCGAGGGCAGTTGCCGCCCAGGGGGTCGAAGCGGAAGCTTGGGGCGTGATCGACGGGCTCGGCGCGGATATACTGAGGGCCGCCAACAGACGCAGGCTCGTCCGGGATTTTAAGTCGGGCAAAGCTCTTGCCCTGCTTGCTGCCCTCCCCTGCCTGACCTGGACCAGGGCCCGAAAAAGCGATGGTCGGGGACCAGGACCTCTTCGGGGCGATCGTGAACACCTCCGGGGTCTCCCGGAACTCTCAAAAAGGGATCACGACAGGGTCCAGCTAGGCAGCAGGCTTTGGGTCACCACTTTCCGCATGATCTGTCAGCTGGCCTCCATCGGGGTCCCCGCGGTGCTCGAGAACCCGCTTTCGTCCAGGGTCTGGCTTACCAAGCAGGTCACTTATCTTATACGCAAGTTTGGGGCACGTCTGCTCGAGGCGCATTACTGTCAATATGGAACCCAGTGGAAAAACCTACATGCTTCCTGGTTATCAATTGTAACTCGCTGATCGATTTCAAAAGATGTTCTGGGACAGGGGGGCGCTGTTCTGCTACAGGGCATAGACGCATGCAGCTCATGGGTAAGGACGCCGAGGGTAACTTCCGTACTAGAAGGGCTCAGGCCTATCCCGCCCCCCTGTGTAATTTTTTAGCTCGCTCCCTGGTCGCTCATTTAACTGAACAGTATATGCACAGCCTCGGGCCCCGTCTTTTGGGTCTAGATTAACACCTGTTTGTAGACACTTCGTAGGGCACACTGAATGTGGGTATGGGAGTGATTTGATTGCCCGAACATGTCTCACGATCCCGCAACTCGTCGCCACTGGACTGCTGATGTGTACTGTTTGCCTCGTTGTGTACCCAGGCGGAGAGCTCAGTAACATTGTGCACTGTGCTGCTGAAAAGATGGCAACTGTCTGCTTGCATATCTTGAGGCTTCGCCTTTGCACGTCCTGGCACGGGATGTTGCGGGATCATCGTAAAGTTCACGAGCTATGATAAAGCTTGAAGGGGGTGCCGTATCATAATGTTACGGCTCAAGTCTCCCGCCCACTAACCACCCTCAGCCCTGCGAAGCAGGGTTGCCTTTCAGTTGTTTCACAACTCTCGCTAAATCGGAACTAACCTCTCCGGCTGGGAGTGATTTGATTGCTCGAACATGTCTCACGGTCCCGCAACTCGTCGCCACTGGACTGCTGATGTGCACTGTTTGCCTCGTTGTGTGCCCAGGCGGAGAGCTCAGTAACATTGTGCACTGTGCTGCTGAAAAGATGGCAACTGTCTGCTTGCATATCTTGAGGCTTCTCCTTTGCACGTCCTGGCACGGGATGTTGCGGGATCATATATATATATATATATATATATGATATATATATATAGTAATATATATATATATATATCAGAGTGAGGGGGCCGAACGGTCTTTCATTGTTCCTGGGTGCGTGGCTGAAGTGCGGATTCCATGTGAGTATTCTGCTTGTTGTTGTTGCTGTTGTTGTCGTCGTCCCCCCCGCGACCCGGCCCGCGACCAGGCCCACGACCCACCACGCGGCCCACCCGCGACCCACCCCGTGGAGCCCAACCGCGAACCCCACCCGTCGACCACCCCGCCGACCCGCTCGAGACCCACCGTGAGCCGCACCCGCGACCACACCTGCGGACCCACCACCGCGGACCCACCTGCGACTATGTGGCCCGCGACCACCCGCGACCCACCGTCGACCCCACCCGGGTGCCCACCTGCGACCCAACCCGCGACCCACCTCAATGGTCTTAACAAAAAT